TACAGCCAGGTGTTGTTACAGCCAGGTGTTGTTACAGCCAGGTGTTGTTACAGCCTGGTGTTGTTACAGCCAGGTGTTGTTACAGCCTGGTGTTGTTACAGCCTGGTGTTGTTACAGCCAGGTGGTGTTGTTACAGCCTGGTGTTGTTACAGCCTGGTGTTGTTACAGCCAGGTGTTGTTACAGCCTGGTGTTGTTACAGCCAGGTGGTGTTGTTACAGCCTGGTGTTGTTACAGCCAGGTGTTGTTACAGCCTGGTGTTGTTACAGCCAGGTGTTGTTACAGCCTGGTGTTGTTACAGCCTGGTGTTGTTACAGCTGGTGTTGGTGTTGTTACAGCCTGGTGTTGTTACAGCCAGGTGTTGTTACAGCCAGGTGTTGTTACAGCCTGGTGTTGTTACAGCCTGGTGTTGTTACAGCCTGGTGTTGTTACAGCCTGGTGTTGTTACAGCCAGGTGTTGTTACAGCCTGGTGTTGTTACAGCCAGGTGTTGTTACAGCCTGGTGTTGTTACAGCCTGGTGTTGTTACAGCCTGGTGTTGTTACAGCCTGGTGTTGTTACAGCCTGGTGTTGTTACAGCCTGGTGTTGTTACAGCCAGGTGTTGTTACAGCCTGGTGTTGTTACAGCCTGGTGTTGGTGTTGTTACAGCCTGGTGTTGTTACAGCCAGGTGTTGTTACAGCCTGGTGTTGTTACAGCCTGGTGTTGTTACAGCCAGGTGTTGTTACAGGTGTTGTTACAGCCAGGTGTTGTTACAGCCTGGTGTTGTTACAGCCTGGTGTTGTTACAGCCTGGTGTTGTTACAGCCCAGGTGTTGTTACAGCCTGGTGTTGTTACAGCCTGGTGTTGTTACAGCCAGGTGTTGTTACAGCCTGGTGTTGTTACAGCCTGGTGTTGTTACAGCCAGCCTGGTGTTGTTACAGCCAGGTGTTGTTACAGCCTGGTGTTGTTACAGCCAGGTGTTGTTACAGCCTGGTGTTGTTACAGCCAGGTGTTGTTACAGCCTGGTGTTGTTACAGCCAGGTGTTGTTACAGCCAGGTGTTGTTACAGTGTTGTTACAGCCAGGTGTTGTTACAGCCAGGTGTTGTTACAGCCAGGTGTTGTTACAGCCAGGTGTTGTTACAGCCTGGTGTTGTTACAGCCTGGTGTTGTTACAGCCAGGTGTTGTTAGCCTGGTGTTGTTACAGCCAGGTGTTGTTACAGCCTGGTGTTGTTACAGCTGGTGTTGTTGGTGTTGTTACAGCCTGGTGTTGTTACAGCCAGGTGTTGTTACAGCCTGGTGTTGTTACAGCCTGGTGTTGTTACAGCCAGGTGTTGTTACAGCCTGGTGTTGTTACAGCCTGGTGTTGTTACAGCCTGGTGTTGTTACAGCCAGGTGTTGTTACAGCCTGGTGTTGTTACAGCCTGGTGTTGTTACAGCCTGGTGTTGTTACAGCCTGGTGTTGTTACAGCCTGGTGTTGTTACAGCCTGTTGGTGTTGTTACAGCCTGGTGTTGTTACAACCAGGTGTTGTTACAGCCTGGTGTTGTTACAGCCAGGTGTTGTTACAGCCTGGTGTTGTTACAGCCAGGTGTTGTTACAGCCAGGTGTTGTTACAGCCAGGTGTTGTTACAGCCAGGTGTTGTTACAGCCAGGTGTTGTTACAGCCAGGTGTTGTTACAGCCTGGTGTTGTTACAGCCTGGTGTTGTTACAGCCAGGTGTTGTTACAGCCAGGTGTTGTTACAGCCTGGTGTTGTTACAGCCAGGTGTTGTTACAGCCAGGTGTTGTTACAGTTGTTACAGCCAGGTGTTGTTACAGCCAGGGTGTTGTTACAGCCTGGTGTTGTTACCGCCTGGTGTTGTTACAGCCAGGTGTTGTTACAGCCAGGTGTTGTTACAGCCAGGTGTTGTTACAGCCAGGTGTTGTTACAGCCTGGTGTTGTTACAGCCAGGTGTTGTTACAGCCTGGTGTTGTTACAGCCTGGTGTTGTTACCGCCTGGTGTTGTTACAGCCTGGTGTTGTTACAGCCAGGTGTTGTTACAGCCTGGTGTTGTTACAGCCTGGTGTTGTTACAGCCTGGTGTTGTTACAGCCTGGTGTTGTTACAGCCTGGTGTTGTTACAGCCAGGTGTTGTTACAGCCTGGTGTTGTTACAGCCAGGTGTTGTTACAGCCAGGTGTTGTTACAGCCTGGTGTTGTTACAGCCAGGTGTTGGTGTGTTGTTACAGCCTGGTGTTGTTACAGCCTGGTGTTGTTACAGCCTGGTGTTGTTACAGCCTGGTGTTGTTACAGCCTGGTGTTGTTACAGCCTGGTGTTGTTACAGCTGTTACAGCCTGGTGTTGTTACAGCCTGGTGTTGTTACAGCCTGGTGTTGTTACAGCCTGGTGTTGTTACAGCCTGGTGTTGTTACAGCCTGGTGTTGTTACAGCCAGGTGTTGTTACAGCCTGGTGTTGTTACAGCCAGGTGTTGTTACAGCCTGGTGTTGTTACAGCCTGGTGTTGTTACAGCCTGGGTGTTGTTACAGCCTGGTGTTGTTACAGCCTGGTGTTGTTACAGCCTGGTGTTGTTACAGCCTGGTGTTGTTACAGCCTGGTGTTGTTACAGCCTGGTGTTGTTACAGCCTGGTGTTGTTACAGCCTGGTGTTGTTACAGCCTGGTGTTGTTACAGCCAGGTGTTGTTACAGCCTGGTGTTGTTACAGCCAGGTGTTGTTACAGCCTGGTGTTGTTACAGCCTGGTGTTGTTACAGCCTGGTGTTGTTACAGCCTGGTGTTGTTACAGCCTGGTGTTGTTACAGCCAGGTGTTGTTACAGCCTGGTGTTGTTACAGCCAGGTGTTGTTACAGCCTGGTGTTGTTACAGCCTGGTGTTGTTACAGCCTGGTGTTGTTACAGCCAGGTGTTGTTACAGCCTGGGTGTTGTTACAGCCAGGTGGTGTTGTTACAGCCTGGTGTTGTTACAGCCTGGTGTTGTTACAGCCTGGTGTTGTTACAGCCAGGTGTTGTTACAGCCTGGTGTTGTTACAGCCTGGTGTTGTTACAGCCAGGTGTTGTTACAGCCAGGTGTTGTTACAGCCTGGTGTTGTTACAGCCAGGTGTTGTTACAGCCAGGTGTTGTTACAGCCTGGTGTTGTTACAGCCAGGTGTTGTTACAGCCTGGTGTTGTTACAGCCTGGTGTTGTTACAGCCTGGTGTTGTTACAGCCTGGTGTTATTATAATGGAAGTCCTAGTCTTCCTGCCTAATATTTTTCTGTCATTTCTTCTAAGCCTTTAGGTCTCATAGTTATATTTTAATTGTTTAGTAAGTGTTTACTCTCTAAGCTATTCAATTCATTTTAAAAAGGTAAGTTTTATTTAATTTATAACAATATAATAATTGAGAAAATCAGTAGGAGCCATGAGGAGGATTCGAACCCGTTGACTTAATACTCCCAAGCACACGCCCTAGACCACTGCTCCAAAACGTGGTAAAAGTAACCAGGCATTCCAGTGACTTCTCTAGGAGTCCTGAGGCTTCCATCTTAAGCCATATCACGGTTCCATGCATCGCCCCTCCATGCTCTCTGGATCTGAACCAGGAGGTCCACCTCGCCCCTCCATGCTCTCTGGCTTTGGTCCAGGAGGTCCACCTCGCCTCTCCATGCTCTCTGCCTCTGGTCCAGGAGGTCCACCTCGCCTCTCCATGCTCTCTGCCTCTGGTCCAGGAGGTCCACCTCCCTCCTCCATGCTCTCTGGCTCTGGTCCAGGAGGTCCACCTCGCCCCTCCACGCTCTCTGGCTCCGGTCCAGGAGGTCCACCTCCAACGCTTCTCGTCAAATGCATAATGGAATCACATAAGGACTCGGGACGCGTAGAGGATTAGGTAGACTCCCTTGTTGCATTACTTTTGACTATGTCGTGTTGTAGTGGTGTGTGCTTGGGAGTACCAAACAAGCGGGTTCGAATCCTCCTCAAGGTTCCTAATAATTTTCTCATTGATAAATCACGTTAATGGGATTTCAATGTAGAAAATATATTTGTTACACAAAACTTATTCACTTATATATTTTTTATAAAATTAATAGGAAGTTATAAATAAATATATACAATGAGAGGAAGATCATTTTGGGAGACGGTTCTATGGTAACCTTTCCTGCGACATTTTACAATTATATTCCATAAATAATCACAAATTTATATACAGTTTCTAAAACTTTCAGCTGGTGATAACCTTCAGTAGTTCTGATAATTACTGAGAATGAGTAATCTCATTACTGTGAATGAGTAATCTCATTAGTGAGAATGAGTAATCCCACTAGTGAGAATGAGTAATCCCATTACTGAGAATATGTAATCCCATTACTAAATGAGTAATCCCATTACTGAGAATGAGTAATCCCATTACTGAGAATGAGCAATCCCATTACTGAGAATGAGTAATCCCATTACTGAGAATGAGTAATCCCTTTACTGAGAATGAGTAATCTAATTACTGAGAATGATTAATCCCTTTAATGAGAATGAGTAATCCCTTTAATGAGAATGAGTAATCCCATTACTGAGAATGAGTAATCCCATTACTGAGAATGAGTAATCCCATTACTGAGAATGAGTAATCCCATTACTGAGAATGAGTAATCCCATTACTGAGAATGAGTAATCTAATTACTGAGAATGATTAATCCCTTTAATGAGAATGAGTAATCCCATTACTGAGAATGAGTAATCCCATTACTGAGAATGAGTAATCCCATTACTGAGAATGAGTAATCCCATTACTGAGAATGAGTAATCCCATTACTGAGAATGATTAATCCCTTTAATGAGAATGAGTAATCCCTTTAATGAGAATGAGTAATCCCATTACTGAGAATGAGTAATCCCATTACTGAGAATGAGTAATCCCATTACTGAGAATGAGTAATCCCATTACTGAGAATGAGTAATCCCATTACTGAGAATGAGTAATCCCATTACTGAGAATGAGTAATCCCATTACTGATAATGAGTAATCCCATTACTGAGAGTGACGGTGTTCATGCAGGTGGGTCCCCCAGCTCCACACTGCAGGAGGTGGTGCTCACACTCTTCCCGTCGTCCAGATGTGACCAGAGCTACTCCACCCTGGTGGACTACCCCTTCACCTGGCCTCGAGGGATCAGGGAGGAGACGGCTTGTGCTGGAGACCCCAGCGGGGGTAAAGATGCATGTCAGGTAATGGGGGAAGTTCTCTTGCATGTTTGTGTACAAATATATTATTTCCCACTAGAAAATGCAATGAATAAAATGTAGTAACATAAAAACATTAATTTTTAAGCAATGTTTCATCTTTAGTTTCTCCCTTATGGCCAACGCTCATCATTAAATCTTGCTCATTGATAGCTATACTAATTTATGCATTGTTATATGAAAGTTTAAATTATATTTCAAACTAGCTGTACCCGGCCACGCGTTGCTGTGGCTCAGCAACGCATGTGCGTTGTGCCACAGCAACCTATACCCTGTCTCCCAGTCCTCCCCACCATTCTACCCCTCCCCCGTCCTCCCAGCCATTCCTCATTCCCCAATATATTTCAATATATTATGGGAGCCGGTCGGCCGAGCGGACAGCACGCTGGACTTGTGGTCCTGGGTTCGATCCCAGGCGCCAGCGAGAAACAATGGGCAGAGTTTCTTTCACCCTATGCCCCTGGTACCTAGCAGTAAAATAGGTACCTGGGTGTTAGTCAGCTGTCACGGGCTGCTGCCTGGGGGTGGAGGCCTAATCGAGGATCGGGCCGCGGGGACACTAAAAGCCCCGAAATCATCTCAAGATAACCTCAAGAGATCCCTTCATCCTCCCAACCATTCCCCACTCTCCTATCCCCTTGTCCTCCCCATCATTGCACCCTCTCTGCCGTCACTTTGTCTTTTCCACAATTCCCTACTCCACCGTCCCCCTATCCTCCTAACCATTCCCCACTCCATCGTTCCCTCATCCTCCCACCATCTCCCACTCCCCCGTCCCTAGTCCTCCCTACTATTCCCCCTCCCACGTCCTCCCCACCCTTCCACACTCCCTCGTCCAATGCATTCCCAAATGATCTGATGTTCCTTTCAGAAAACTGGGAACATCAAATGATCTGGGGTCAGATTCACGAAGCAGTTACGCAAGCACTTACCTGTACATCTTTTATCAATCCTTGCCCCCTCCCCATCCGACCCGTTGGCATCGTGAGAGGGCTTCATGGATGGCTGCCGGAATGTGATGCTCCGTGGGACAGTCCTCTGTCCTTTTATGGCCTTGCACTCCTGCTGCTGTCTTCTCTAATTGTGCCGGATTGCTTTTCCTTTTCATTATGTTTCGTTTTTCTCCCCCCTCTTCTCCTATCTGCTTGTCGTTTCCTGCCGACCTTTTGCTTGTTTTGGATTATTTCTTAGGACTTCTTCTATTTTGACGCCCGGGTGCTTGAGGATGCATACTCTTGCACCTGTAGAACTGTAGTACCCAACGTCTCGAACGAGGGGAATCTTTTATTGTCAATCTCCCTTTCGTCGCTGAACCCGATCTCGATGGACTGACGGTTCTTAAGGTGGCGTTTGTGGGGCGTATACTCACGACGCACCCCCAGGGGGCCCCGGCATGATCGGCGATAGCTTCCTGTTGGGTGTCCTGACTCTAATTGTGGCTCCATGGGGGCACATTCGTGGATGAATTTATCCCTCTTCGTACCTATGTCGTTGAATGTTTCTGATGTACCCTCTCGGGCTCGTGGGGTGGGCGACCAAGCCCCCGAGTCGGCCTGTCTTGGAAGACCAGGATCTGTAGCCTCCGCTGTGTTGGGCCCTGACCTTGCTCCTCCTTTGACCAACCTGACTTCTTCCCCCAGCTCTCCTCCCTCCTCTGTGGTTGGGTTGAGCCTCCAGCCCCCAGTGATGACCACTTCGTCCCCTGGTGTGGCTAAGTCTCTCGTTGTGACTACTGCGCCTTTTGACCTCTCTCTCTCTGGGGGTTCTCAACGCCGTTTGCGCCCCGGCCGCACTCGCTCGATTCCTTCCCGTACTGCTGCGTATCAGGCCTTGTTTGGTCCCGCTTCATGGGCCAAATACTTTGATCTCCTCCCTCTTGATTCTGCGTCTCCTGATGATTTCTCCCTCCATCAGCATCTTGTAGATTCCGTGGATGCGTCTGTTACCTTCAACCCCACTCGTCTCGATACACGTGCCGTTGCTGCTCCTTCTCAGGATGCAGCTTCCCGCTTGGCTGCCTTATCTTGCCTTGGTGAGATCCCTGTTCGGGTCTCCAAGAACGTTCGGATGAATGCCATTGTTGGCACTATATCCTCCCACCCCATGTTGCAACCGGTGTTCGGAATCTGCAGGATTGCCAAGATGATACTCGGCATATCCTTGATGCCCAAGGCCATTCTGTCCTCCAGGTTGACTCGTTTACTCGTCCCCCTCGTGGTCGTCGCCGTCAACCCCCTTCGTGTTGTGAAGATCACCTTTGATGGTAGGACCCTTCCATCCTCTGTCATTCTTGCTGGTGCTAGGTGCTCTGTCCAGGAGTATATTCCTTCTCCTCGACTTTGTAACAAGTGCTGGAGGTTTGGGCATGGTGCCCTCCGCTGCTCTGGGACTGTCTCTCTCTGTCCTTTGTGTGGGGGTGAGGGTCACTCTATGTCGGAGTGCACTTCTCCCCAAGCTCGCTGCCTCAACTGCGGTGAAGCCCATCCTACCTTCTCCCGTGCCTGTATCCATTACAAGCTTGAGGCAGCCGTCCTCAACTTGAAGCACCGGGAGCGTTTATCTTTTCCTGAGGCGGGGCGCCAGGTTCGCCGGCTCCCGCCTTATGCTAACGTCTCTTATGCTCACGTGTTGCGCTCTTCCTCTCCTCATCCTTCCCTCCTTCCTCAGACTCTCAACCGTTTCCAGGCCTTGGACCCTGATACGCCCATTGCCCCCTCCTCTGTTCCTTTGCGTTCTGTCCCGAGGGGTCCCCCTCCTGGTCCTCTGTCTGGGGTTCCCCCTTCTTTCTACCCGGTCTGTCATGTCTCCTGTGTCTTGTTTCTCGTCTCCCTCCGATCCTCCTTCCCATCCTCTTCCTCCATCTATCGGCTCTCCCCGCCGCCTGTCGGTGCAGGCAGATGTCCATCGCTCTCCTAACGGCAGTCGTGTGTGCTCTCGTTCAGCTTCTCCTGTTGAGACGCTAGAATCCGTTGCCCGGTACGTAGTTGCTGGGACACCGGTCTCTTTAAGTCAGAAGCGTAAGCCTGGCTCCTCTCCTTCCTCCTCCCCGGCAGGTAAGAAGGCTTCGCTTTCTTCCTCTTCCAGAAGTAGAACAGAGCCAGAAGTAGGGGCTTCGCCCCTACTT